ACACGTGCGCTGACATGCTCCCAATGCTTAAAGGTAGGGACAGGCACAGGCTCCACACGGTGCCGAAGCTGGTGGCTCTGAGAAGGGTGTAGTACTGAAGGCAAAAAGAGAGCGGAGCTTCTACTCCCTTCTCAGATCTCAGAGCATGTATAAACGCATTTGTTGGGAATCCTGCTTTGCGGGATTTAAGAAATCCCGCTAATACCTCAACTACTTGGATCTTTCCACGATAGCAATCTAGCACGATTGGCAGCACTATCATGACAGCCTGGGCGATTGCGACACTATACTTTTGTTCTAGAACCATGCGTGCTAGGCAGTTGAAGTCTGAGGCATAATCCAGGAGGAAAAATGCAAATCCCATATAGAGGCTCACTCTTTCTTTCAGAGTTGGCTTCAGTCTTTTGTGGGAAATGTCTGCCCGCAGAGTCTGCGCCTTGGCGTCCACCTGCTCAATCGCACTGGTATCTGAGGCTGCTTGGCCCAGCATGCACAGTGGGTCTTGCTGCAGAATCCTGGGTAATGCCAAACTCAGCAGAAGCCAGCCAGCCAAAGCGACGGAGGGCAGGAGCTGCAGTAGCCACATGGCAAGCCGCCAGACCTGAATTCTAAGGTCAGCGGCGTCTACGTTGTGAGTCAGCACACAGAAAGAAAGCTGCGCCAGCATGGCATTCTCAAGATGCCATGCATGTCTGATGTAATATGGATTCCGAGAGTACATCCGGACATGCGATGGGTTCCAAGCAGCCTCAAACAGCTCTCGCGGAGTTTCTGGGATGTATGCGCGGGCCTTGCATCCGGCTTGCAGCCACCCTGGCACTGAGAGCTGGCAGTGAAGGCATTGGCAGCATTCCAGTGTTTGATCAGTAAGAGGATCACAGCGCAATGTGCGAGCGAACACACCCAATTCAACATACGTCTCTTTCAAGCAAAAGTCCCCGCAGTTGCAGTCGTGCCAGCATGGGCTGTCCTCAGCCTCATACAGCTGCTTGAACAGGGATTCCGCTGCCATTTGCTCTGATGACGGTGTCGCTGCTTTGAACTGCTTATATGCACAGTAGTAGCTGTAGCCGTCGCAGCCCACATTCTGCAACCGTGCAGGGCAAATGTCCGGAAGGAGGTTGACGTGCGTAAACCTAGCCCAGTACACCACGCAGCAGGCGAGCTTGAGACTCCAACCGCATGCGACAAATCTTGTTGCTGATATCTGCTGGCGCAGGAGCCCAAGTCGTGACTGGTCATGCGGCCACAGCACGTATAGTGGCTCAGTCACGAGCTTCGCGGGCCCTTGATGCCTGACCATGGCCATCACCAGTAGGAGGACAAACGGAACGGCTAAGAACACTGCATTTGTTAGAGTCGCCACCTGAATGTAGCACAGCATGGAGAGCAGCTCCAGCGTGACAAGGAGCCTTAGATTCTAGATGCCCTGCTGCTCATTACTCTGGGAACGAATACTTTGGGTCCTAAAGTGTACAGATACAAAAGCTTGAATATTCGGATTCCTAGGGTTAGGGTTTCCAGATCGTCATGTCCCTGCGGCTTTGGGTGGAGTCTTCAACAAAAGATACCAAAAAAACTAATCACAACCTCAAACTTGAGCCTCAAAAGAGACTAATGTTTAGGAATCCTGTCAAGAAACCGAACGCCCCCGGCTCGCAGCGGCTGCTTCTTCATCTCCTCCTGTGCTGCACGAAGACGCGCATAGAGGGCAAACTCCCTCATGGCGCCGGCTGCAACACGGGGTCCAGCTACCTCGCGTCCGGCCCTGCTAGTGCGCAATGTAAAGAGGCCTATCTTATCAGAATAAGATCTTGGGATGTACAGTATGATGATTCCCTGAGGGTAGCTGCCCGAGCTGTTCGAGCCACGGGAGGGACGGTGCCGGCCTGCTTTCCTCTCAGCTCTCAGACCCGAACCTGTAGTCGCAAACCTTAAAACCCGAAGGCTTTCCACCTACATAAACCCGAACTGCGGCACTGTATCATACGCCTTGAAGCTTTTCTCTTGAATCACAAACCCCAATGTCCTCTCATCATTCGCCAGACAGCGTGTCTTGTTGGCAACTTCACGGCTAACCCTTCAAGTGCTCTCCACATGTTCGGGTCTACAGGATTCGGGTCCTGATTTGGGTGTGCTGATCGTGAGGATCGTACTGCTTAGGGTCTGTATTGGGGTACTCGTAGAAAAACTAGCCTGTGCTTTGAAGTAACTAGCGAGAAAAAAGTTCGCATGTTTGTTCCATAATGTTTTCTTTCAGGAACAGGATCCAGAACCCAGTATTGGGGAACTCTTGTATCATCCACCTAAACCCTAAACCCCTAAAC